ACTTTTGTTACCCTAAACTTGAAGAAAACTCACACTATGTTTGGTTGGTAAGAAATACTAAAGAAATAGGGACAATGGAGCAAAAATAGGTGAAGAAAAATAACATCTATTGGTTGATTAAATATATCTTTGTCAAGAAGGAAATTAATAGAGGTGAGTCTCACGTCTTTAAAATTTATTTGCAAAATTGAGAAGAAATATGAAAGAAAGAATGTGAGAAAATGTGTGGAACACTTTTATTTATGTGATACTTCTTTCTTCTCTCATTTGATTAAACTTCATAAAATTTCTCTTATTTGAATAAGTAAGGTTTATGATTTGATTTAATCGAAACCAATAGATTTAAGACACTATAATCGATTAAAATATTTGCTTAATCAATTATATATATGATTGTCGGTTACATGCATGTAGGTGAAATGTTGATGTGTATTCAAATAATCTATTTTGTTATTTGATTGATTGTTGTTGTATTAGAATAGGAAAAACATTATATTTGATTGAAGTAGATTGTATTCAAATATTAATAAATGTTATTCAGTTGTATTATTAGATTTTGTTCAAATAAAAAAGTTATTAATCAAATAAAAAAAATTTAATGCAAATAATTTAATGTATATTCAATTGATTTATGTATACATTAAATAGAAGTTGTTATTCAATTGGTTTAATGCAAATAAAATTTTGTATTTCTTGAGAATTATTTTATTCATATAAATTGAAAATTTATTCAAATAAACAACATTCTAATTATTTATTTATTTGATTGTATTTGAATAATATGTTTGTTATTGGATTACAACCAAATAAATAAATTTAGTTTATTCAAATGAATATTATAAAAAATAAACTAATTCATTTGCATCCTATTTTTTTTAATATATTTTTGTTCACTTATTTCTTTTTTTTCCTATCTCTTCACTGCATTTTTCACCAATTTATTCCATTACAATTAAACACAATGTAAAAGCAAATGGAGAAAGATAAAGGTCTTTTTCCTAATTCAACCACACATTCATTTTGGGACGAAGACAATGGACATTGGACATTGGCTCTTGGAGTTGCAAAGTTAATGATCTTTTCCCTGTTATGCATGTGCTTGGAACATCAACACTTGGAAACTGGAAAATTTTTCTAATATAACAAATTGCAACTATGATTGGAAAATATTGATTTTTTTTTCTCTCCGTAGATTGTATGTTATAGAGAGTCGATTATGAACGGATATTAATCATTGTAGTCATGATGATGGCACAAAAACGAGGGACAGTAAATTCACGCTCACTTTTGTTTTAGCGCTTATTGCTCTGACCATCCAAGATTTTCTCAAGTTGGAAACTATTAAAGGAAAAGGCAACGTTCACTAATGTTGTGCTTTCTTTGAATTTTCGCAGTGCAAAAGTTAATCGAAATAAAATCAATCAAGTGTGGAAAGCAAGGCTAACATATATGGAGTTAAAGAGAAACCTTTGTTCTTTGAATTGAATTAGATTCGATCTTTATTAAACATTTCACTTAAAACTAACGTAAGATGCTAATTAATCTTTTCTAGCCTTTCATTACTTTTAATATCATATATTTTCTTCCCATATGTATTCTCGAATGAAGATAACCTTATTTAAGATATGATCAGATACTAAATATGAATATTTCTTTTCTTCTAATAAAGATTAAAATTTGGTAACCAACTTCTTCTGCTAGACTCAAATCTCGTTCGTCAAATATCAGTTACTAATTAATATTTTTTTAGGCTTTCATTACTTTAAATATCATATATTTTCTTCCTACATGTATTTTTTTTTAAATAATCCTATTCAAAATATGGTCAGATTCTAAATTTAAATATTTTTCTAATAGAGATTAAAACTTGTTAATTAGTTTCTTCTGCCATAGTTAGATTCAAACCTCATTATCGAATATTATATATCTTAGCAATCAGTATATCACTCCTTAATAAGAGTTTTTTTTTTTTTTTTTTTTTTTTTTTTTGTTGAAAAAAAA